ACAACAAATTCAAAAATTAGATAAAGTCTTTTTCTAATAATTTGTAATACTTTAGCAACACAAAGTAGCAAGTGTCAAAAAGCATGGTAAGAAATGTCTTAAATGTAACATTTACAACATTAAAGAAGCATCACATATGAGATTCATTTATCTTTATGACTGAAAAATTTTAACTCAAGAATGACAATATTTGGTAGGACTGGCCAGTCGCTCAGCTGGTTACAGTGTGGTGCTATAACACCAAGGTCAAAGGTTCAGACCCCCATACAAACCAGCCAGCCACAAAAAAAAAAAGTGATAATATTTGCAAACTTAGTCAATTCTCACTGAAGTGTATTATCTAAAGACTCACAGAGACTATAGAAAACCTGATCAAATATACAACTTACATAACATTTCAAGAGAAACATGAATGCTAGCAATCGTTATCTTTAAATAATTTTTATATGTTGCATTTTGAGAATAGCACATTTAAAATTTGTCAGACTTTAACCTCTAAACTGTATGTGCTAACTAGTCTTTACAAGAAACCATTTGCTCTCTGGATTTACATCGTATTTCTTTGCTTCCTGCTGGTAACAGTTAGTTGTCATTCAAACAAGCTAGTGCCAACTGAGCAGATCTCAGGTCTGGGCGCCACAGAGGCTAGACACGAAGTCTGGAACCTCAGCCTGCACTCAGCTACCTTAAAGTCGGATGCCTCGGCCTGAAAGTTTCACTAAGCAGATTTAGTAAATCAGCCTGACACTTTAACATTCTACATCAAAGTATTAGCTATCGATATCTCATTGGATTGCACCTGAATTTAAATAACCATGATACCTAGAAAACAAGATGTGTATTAGGTTAACAAAAATTTTTAAGTTAATGATTCGATTATCAAATTCACTTAAAAGCCCAAAAAAATATAAAGTCTAATAATCAATCTCAAACTCGACTTAACCTTGATCTTACTGTGAAATTAGCAGCCTAAGACCCTGTCTCTGCAGCACAACGCAGAGCCCCTGTTCTTGCCGTAAACCACCACGCCGTCCCCTTGTCTTCTCAGCTCTTCCAAGAAGAGCTAAAAACAGGGGACTTTATACACAGCGCTGATTTGACCAACACGCACTCATTTTTTGAAGTTTGCTATTTTAATACCCTCATAAAGATGTTACGAAATTCTTCAAAGAGATTCCTTCCTTCATCTGCAAGACCTACTGCACAGTGTTTAAAAACATGTTTGTTCTGCTTTTGTGCAATAAGATTCTGAACAAATAAAGGAAGATGCAGAAAAATAATAATCTTTTTTTAACTCCCTCCAAGCTGATACTTTCCACAGTGTTACACAAACCAGAAAGCCTTCTCCTATCATAATTTGAAGTGTCCTAGTAAGGATACTGACAAGGTACCTGTCCGAGCCTAGAAAGTGCTCCTGCCATGACAAAGGAGGCCCCTCCTCCACCCCAGGCAGCCTCCTCGGCCACCTCTAACCCGAACTCCTGATGGCCCTCCCATCATCAAGCCCCTGGATCTGCCTCTCTGCAGAACCACCCACATTGACTCCTAGAGGATCGCCTTCCTGGACACGGAAGCTGAGTGCAGCGGCCTCTCCCACCAGTCCCCTGAACCAAGTCTTCCTCTGCCCCAACACCTCCAGCCCCCAGTTATCCCAGAAGGGACACTGGGACAAATCTGCTTCAATATGATTTAACTAAATGGCCAGAACTTGTGGTGTCTTTCCCACTCAAACTGATTACAGAACTTCACAGATTATCAGACCATACCTGCCCTATTAAATACATGTAAAGTAAGCCTGGAAAATGTGTTAAACTACGTATAACAAAGGCTCTTTAACCAGTACAGTAAGACTTCACTTACCAAATTATACCCTTACGTTAGCATACAGACTTGAGAAGGCATCATGAGTTAAATCCTTAACGTGGGAAGCCTTTCCAAACATATCAAAAATAAAAATTGTAGTTTTAGTACTTAAAAAAAAAGTTTTGTTCACAAATGTTAGACACTCTTTTGGGTAACAAAGTGCCATCTGGACTGAACAGCTATGAGACAACGGATTCACCAAAACGGGCACCTCCTCTACTACCAAGCCTTCAGCCCAGACCGGTGGATACGTTAAACCATGTCTCTGCCAAAATGGACTGGCTATATCCAACTCTCCACCTAAAAAGAGGAGCTATTGATTTAGCTGCGTCACTTTCCTGCAGACTCTATGTGACACTCATTCGATCCAATTATTGCTCGAAATACTCAAACCCTCTGTCAAGTTTTAAGTGAGAATACATTACTAGCAAAGTCTAAAAATGGGCCCGTAAGATAATCAAGGACAAAAGTACAAAAATTAACATTCAATATCAATTAAAATATCTTCTAAGGTCAATCATCAGGTTTAGATACTCAAACCCTCTGTCAAGTTTTAAGTGAGAATACATTACTAGCAAAGTCTAAAAATGGGACCGTAAGATAATCAAGGACAAAAGTACAAAAATTAACATTCAATATCAATTAAAATATCTTCTAAGGTCAATCATCAGGTTTAGAATAATGATCAATAAAAATTAACGATGCGTTTGGTAGCAAATGGTTATAAAATTGCATCATCCATTTGTACCTGTTAAATACTTTAAACCCATAATTTTACGAAGGATGTATACTGTCCAAAAACTCACTTTATTTTGGCGGATTTCATGGACAGGCCGCGAGTGGGCTTCCGCTATCACTGCAGAGCTGCAGCCGGCGTTGAGGTCGAAAACTTCCACGGTCCTGTTGCGGCCGGCGGCGAGCACGACGTCTGCGGGTTCAGTTAGGGAGCTCCCCTCGCAGTGATTACCCACGGGCACTGGACGGCTCCGTTCCTTTTATCATACATTTTAGAACATTAGACGACTCACAAGGGATGGTTAGTAAGAATTTCTGAAGTTCCCTAGGAAAAGTCCTGACACCAGCCCGGCGGGTGGGCAGAGGGGCTGCCTAGGAAGCAAAGGTGGAAGGCCCAGTTCTACTTTCAGACACACGGTGCTTGAGATGTCCACGGAGTATCCATGTCAACAGGTCAAAGGGCATCAGTTACATACACAGTCAGCTCAGAAGACGGGTCTGAGCTAAAGACTAGAGGATACATGGTAAGACCGGGTGATGCCGCCTGGAGCAGGCTGCATGAGGCCAGTGCACACAACCTGTGACACGGTGTCCTGGTGGGTGACAGCCCTGAGCCTCATGAACTCAAAATGGGGTGAACAATTTATGCACAAGGGCCCGTGTGACACCAAAACTTGCCAACCTTCAGAGTAGCCCTGAACAGTGTTATAAAAAGTCTACGTGGCGAGACAACAAAGAGTCCTAGACGCAATGTAAATCCACTGCTAACCAAAAATATGCAAAAACTGTAATTTAAGCTAGAATCGCCATAATCACATATTTCTGCTGCGTGTTTTTTTGTGTTCTGTTTATTTGTTTGTTTAGCAAATGATTCTAGCATTAAAATACCATATTCCAAACTAAAATATACTAGAACCTCACAATACTTTATTTCAGTGCCTCTAAAATTTCAACCATAAAACCCTTCCATAGAATTCAACTTAAACCTATCTTTGAATACATTAAAACTGTATAAAATGAATTTCTAAATATCAGGAGGTTTGCCTCTAAATAAACTAAAATTAATTTTTTTTTAATTAAAGTGATGATGTGAGCCACAAAAATTCAAAAATTAAGTTTTTTGGACTCAATTGCATATTCTACTGAATAGCAAACACTGGAATTTTTGCCAGTCCCCCATACAAGATGTAATCACTGTTCACACATCAAAGGATGCTTTCAGTAAGTGTGACAGTTTATCCAGAAAATGTGCTCGATTACACGAGCAGCATTCGACAAAGCACACCGCAGAAACGCCACGTCAGCTCCGAACCTTGTGGCGACACTGCTGCACCCAGGGTTTTCCTTTCAGTCACCTTTCACTACCGAGATGACATCATCACCGTGCGTTCCCAGGGCCCCGCACCACACCTAAAACGTGAGAAGCAGCGGGAAAAAGGATACGGGAATAGAAGTCATTTACTGCAGACAAACTGGTCACGTCCACAGCGTCGGTCATAGACAGCCTGAAAACAGGCTTCGCCCTGCTCTTCTGTTTATATCTGCAAGAAAAATAAAGACGATCAATATTTTTGCTTCCCTTCTGCTACAACTAAACCTCCTACCTTTAAAAAAATTGAAAAGGAAAGAAAGTTTTCATATCACTTAAGTCAAATCTTATAACACTGAGGGAATGAGTGAATCGGCCACCTTGATTTTCCTTTAGGAGATACTTCAGTTTTCCATTAAACTCTAGCTTTTCCTTAAGAAAAACTTTATAAAAATAATATCGTTTTACACGGCCGGAAATAATTACTCTTTATCTATGAGAAAGCAAATTTGTCTCTTAATTATAAAATAATTATGCATATTTAAGGAAACACCCAAACAGTTGTAAATTACCTATATCTCCACTTAAAGATAAGTTCCTGTGATCTTCTAAAGGGTAACATAAGCAGGAAGTATCGGTTCAATAAAAGTATCCTCTTAGCCCCCAGCGATAGTTCCGTAAAGGAAAGCGATCCAGAGAGGGCAGGGCTGAGTGAAGACCAGGTGACGAGGGTGTCAGAGGCACTCAGGCCAGGCCCGGGCAGGCTGCCCAGATGGGTGAGGACTCGAGGCACACGCAGGAACAGATGACGGGAGCTCAGTGTCTGAGGGGTCTTGGGACAGATGACATGATGTTACATTGTCAGAGGCACTCAGGCCAGGCCCGGGCAGGCTGCCCAGATGGGTGAGGACTCGAGGCACACACAGGAACAGATGACGGGAGCTCAGTGTCTGAGGGGTCTTGGGACAGATGACATGATGTTACAGCGACAATGTCAGAGGTGGGGAAATGCTGGGATGGGGCTGGGGGGGTGACAGGCAGAGTCAGGCAGCAGGAAGGAAGGCTTGGCCAGCCCAGGGCAGGGGTGGTGCTAGAAATGTCCAATTGTCCAAGGACAGGACGACGATGACCTGAATCACTGCGCATTCACGACAAACTGCCTGAAACTATACAGCAGCGTGGCTTAGAAATCTGGGAGCAGTTATTTAATTTGGAAAAAATGCATCAAAGTTCTGTGGACAGCACATATGAAGAAAAGAAAGAAACTTTTCTTTTCAGAGAGAAAGAGCGCAAGAGGGGATTGAGAGCGTTTTGGTGGCTAAGAACACGCGGGTTCCGTGGGGAGCCCATCGGAAGGCGTTCAGAGATGTACGCAGAGCACGGTTATCCTCTAGACAGTCCTTCACAAGTGAAAATACAGCCCTTCCTAGGACCAGTGTTATTCTAATTTTGCCACCAATTGGGTTCAGTGTTTGGTCATTTACTCTGAGTGCATCAGAGCGGCTGGGAAGCATCAGCCACCTCAGGAGCACAATTTTGGCTGCGCTATAACCTGCAGTGGTGATCACAGCAGAATAAAGCAGGTGAGTTCCATGAGGTAGGTGTCTAGCATTTCATGCAAGAGCACTCACGTTAACTAGCTACATACGAATACAATGCGCCCAGTCCACGCCCATCACTAGCCAGGGAAGGGCCCCCTCTTTTGGAAGCCACTTCCCCATCCCCCGCCACCAGTTGGGGTGCTCCTGGTAAGGGCTGCCAATCACAGCAGGATGGGACCCAACCTGCCACCATGAGCCCCACCCTAGCCCCTGGCAACTCAGAACACAGCTGGAATTCATAGCTTTAAATCCCTGACTCAGTCCCTTGGTCCCTGCTTCTGGTTAGGTGACATCCACATCCTTTACGAACAAGCTTGAGCAGAGATGCAGTCACCTGCATCTGCGAGTCTCGTTAACACAATTAGTCATTTGCAAATTACATATCGGAATAACTCCTGTTTTATAATAACTTTTATTCTCATAACAAAGATAAAATATGTTTACCAGATAAGATAGTAAAAATACAAAAAAGCAAGAAAAAAATACGACTCTCTTTAGATCATCTTGTTAACAGTTTGATAAACAGTCGTCCAGGCAATTTTTTCATATAAAATTGACCATTTAAATACTAAAACAGACCATTTTTCACTTATAACATATCAAAAATATTTTTCAATGTCATTAAAAATTCTCCAAAAATAACATTTTAATATCTCAGTTGAGTTATATGTGAAAACACTGTCACTTAACTATGCCTAAACATTACAATTTTCCAGTGTTCCAACATTGTAAGAGCTGTGCAGTGAACATCCTTGATGTTAATCTTTCACATGCCCATGATTGTTTTCTTAAGATAAACGTCTAGAAGAGGAACTGCTGAGTGAGAGGCAGGCAAGCTCTCAGAACTTTTGGTGCCTCGTGGCAAACAGCCCGCGGGAAGGCCGTGCTGATGCCCGCTGGGCGCAGCGGTCTCTGAGCGCCGCTCTTTCTCTGACCTCCATCAGCACTGGCTTTGTCACTCGTGATATTCTGCCAACTAGACAGAAGGAAACAGTGTACGTCGGTGTGGATTTTCTTTGTATTCCTTTGACAAGCAGAACTGGTGGAAGTACTTTTGCATTCTTGTTTGGTATCAGCATATTTATCTGTCATCTTAAACTGTTAGCTAGTTTTCTACGGAAGAGTCTATGTTTTATTACTGAATTGCAAATATTTTTTATTTATGATAGACAACAATTTGTCTATCATAAATGTTGCCAAAAACAATACCCAGGTTCTCATTTAAGGTTTACTTATCGATGATGATTTTTGATGTACAAATGTATTTCTTTCTCCTTTTCTTTAAATTGGTAAGTGGTTGGATGTATTGGTCTTTCCTATAGGGTTTGTTTTTTTCTGTGTATGTTTACAAACACTTGTCAACCTCCAGCTAAATGTCATAAATAGAACAAACACATTAGTTTTATTACGTCTCAAAACTCAACTGAAGTGGCTGTGAAGAGATTTTTAAGGCAAAACCCCACCAGATTAAAAAAAAAAAATAGAGAGGAGGCAAGAGCAAGAAGAGACACAGTTTTAAATCCCAGAAACAAAGTGACCTGCGCTGATCAACACTAAGAATCTAGGAAGTAACTTAACACACAAACCTCTCCCTGCCCGCCCCCCAAATAGCTCAGGGCTTTAAAGTGCCCACGTGTCTGAAGATGAGGCTGGGGAAGGAGCTGGGGAGAGGGCACTGGTTTCTGCTGTGCAGGAAACATTGGGGTCCTAGAGTCTCCCCAGCCCCAACTACCCTCCACCCACACCAGCAAAGAACTGAAGCTCAGCCCAAGACCCAGGGAAACAGACAGGTGAGGGCAGGGGCACCCCAGTTAAGACCAGGAGACTCAGTGCAAGTCCACCTCCTGAACAGGGAGACCCCAGCCCTTCGCAGGTGACTCAGAATGGATCTGACGCCATCGTGGTCATGCTGTCCCACCTGGCCAATGGCTGGGCACGTGATCTGTCTGGAGCCTGGGAGGAGCCCTACTCACCTGTATGGCACGACAGGAGAAGGCTCTGACGTGGTTTCACTGGCTTATTTTTGCTTGTCTTGTCTGTGCTTTTGGGGTCATATCCATGAAGCCATTGCCAAGACCAAAGGAAGCTTATGCCCTGCGTGTTCCTCCAGTAGTTTCACAGTTTCGGGTCTGACGTGCAAGTCTTTAACCCTTGCTGAGGATGAGTTGATCATGTATGTCCAGGTGTACTCCGGGCTCTCCGTTCTGTTCCGTTGGTCGGTCTGTCTGTCTTTATGCCTGTATCACACTGTTTTGATTGTACAGCTTTGTAGTACAGTTTGAAGTCAGGAAGTGTGATGCCTCCAGCTTTGTTTTCCTTTCTCAAGATTCCTTTGGCCATTTGGGGTCTTTTATGGTTCCATATCAATTTTAGGGTTTTTTTTCTATTTATGTAAAAAAGGCCATTGGAATTTTGATAGGGATTGTGTGGAATCCGTAGGTCACTTTGGGTGGTATAGACACCTCACAATATCAAGTCTTCCAGTCCATGAACATGGGGGTCTTTCCACCTGTCTGTGGCTTTAAAAACTCTTTCACAACATTTTATACTGTTAAGGATCCGAGTCTTTCACTTACTTAGTTAAGCTTATTCCTACGTACTCTGTTGTTTTTGGTGCTAACAGTCTGGTGTGCTCTAGTCTGTGGACACTGACAATCCTGCACAGACGTTCCCAAGACCAAGTCCAGCCCCAACCTCTCCTCCTGTGACACCACGGCCTGGTGCATGTCCGCATGCGTGCTCCTGCGGTCTGTGGCTGTAGACCCCTTCATTGTGCTGCGAGAAGCACGGACCTGGTGCCGGGAGCCACAGCAGCACGCACCTTGAAGTGGTGACGGGGAAAGCAGCAGACCAGAGCCGGCACAGACCCTTGAGCCAGAGCCAGCGGCTTCCCCTGCAGCTTGTGACGCGAGGGGAAAAGCCACCTGTGTGGGCCACTGTTGGCAGGGCCCTCAGTTACCAGAAGGAAGACGGCTGATGGGAGGAAGCAGGGAGGGAACGTGCAGCAGGTGCAGTGACCACCGCGCGTTGGCAGGAGGGAGCAGCCCACAGGGCCGGTGCTCCTTGCACCTGAGAAAGGGGGTCTGTGCAGGAAATCAGCACAGCCCTGTCCACGGTGACGAAAGGCCGGGACCGCCCCAGGTCCACCAGTGGCAGGAGCAGGGCAAGGCCATGCACAACCCGCTGCCATCTCAGAACACAGCTCTGCGTGTGGAGAAAGCTGTGTTCATGTTACACTGAAATGCCCGAAAAGTAAAGTTACACACGTACAGATACAGCAATAAACAGCAAAGCCACGGATGGGACCCAAACGCAGCAACCTCAAGAGGAGGAAGAAGGGAAGACAATGGGGCTGGGAGGCAGGTCTCTCATTCTCTCTGCAAGACTTTTATTTCTTTAAAGATTTTGTAAAACAAAGATAAGCAGAACGATAACATTTTCCGAGCCAGGTGCAGCTAGTGGGTGTTTCCCATTCCCCACATAAACCTGCACATTTGAAGTGCAGTTTCAGCTTTTTATGGTTCTGGCAACTTCCCCACATAACATCGCTTTGATCGGCCAGAGCACCGAGACGGTGATCCAGGGTGACGCTCTCAGAGCAAACTCACTATCGCAGCAGTGCTTCTGCTTTTTATGGTTCTGGCAACTTCCCCACATAACATCGCTTTGATCGGCCAGAGCACCGAGATGGTGATCCAGGGTGACGCTCTCAGAGCAAACTCACTATCGCAGCAGTGCTTCTGCTGACTCCAGGAAGAAAGGGCACAGGGAGGGGACACCCACCTCTGTATCTCATCTTTGCAAGTGTCGATGTGATACTTCAGCAGCTGACACTCGGGGCCGGAAGACAGCAAAATAAAAGTGTCCATGTAATAAAACTGGGCAGACTGCACAGGCTTAGAAAACATGTCTTTGCCCTGTAATACAATCAGTAATTATTGCCAATACCATGTTAATTAAAAACACTGTTGCTCTATACATAAAATTCTTTCTTCTTCACATCCAGCATCTTGCAACCGTATTGCAAGCGTGTAAATATACTTTGTTAGAGCAGATTTACAATTTCTGCTTCTGCATACTGACTACTTCTGAAAGGTGTTAAATGACTAAAAGTTTGTGATATGAGCGTTTCAAATACTGGGCATTTAAGCTTTAAAATGAAAGAAAACTGAAACCACGGCTGTGACTGTCTGAGAGTTCAAGGCCACAGCGCTGTTCATCTAAGCGACCGCCTGCAGTAGACGCGATTACTCGTTACCAGAAGGAGCATGAGCTTTGTCCTGCGAATGGACCACACCCTCAGAGTCCTGTCCCGGGCAGCGGAGAGAAGCCACCTCCCGTCCTGGCTCCAGCAGATGGCGGTCACTGCTCCATCGTGACCTAACCAGACACATGGAGAAAGGAATAACCAAGGAGTGTTGTTATTCTTTTGTTTTATTTTTTATTAGTATTATTACCTTTGATAGAATGTTATTTATCTAGTACTTTCATACAACACACCTGGAACTGCACTTTTTCAAGTAATAAATCATGCATCTGGAGGCATTTCCTAGCTACAGTGACACCAACGGAACCCAAGCCGAGGTTCAGGATCACACTTCATTCAATGGCTCGGCATGGTTGCTGTTCGGTACCCACATCACTCCCACCCAGCCTCACCCGGGGGCCCAGACTCTGGCAGCCTCTGCTCCTGGGTGGGCACATCTGCCTCTGCTGGCCCCTCACCTGGACCGTCCTGCCCAGCTGTCCACCCAGAGAGGACATCAAGCCAGGGGAGGTGATCTTTGTTTTCTTTTAAAAATGCAGAGTTTTACTTAGAAACTGTCTAAAGCAGGAAAAAAATCTTGTCAAGAAAGACTAGGTGGCAAATGGGTTCCTGATAAAATGGAATTTTATGGCAACGAAAGTCTAAAAGTCCAGAAAAGAGAAATAGTACCACTGTCATGTGAACATTGGCTAGTTAGTTAGATTTTTCGGCATCACTGAATTAGTGATTCAGTTAATCACTGAATCTGGGTTTTCATCTGAATTCCACACAGAGCATTCACTGCACAACAATTTCCTCATAAAATACATGCTTTTCTACACACGTTAGGACAAGCTACCACCAGAAACAAATCAATACAGACACGTCAGGAGCTGAACCTCGGTCATGGTGACACACGTTTTGTAGAATTCTGCCAAACAAAGGGACTGAACAGCTTGTGGACAAAGCAAATGAGGGAGAGCGAAGGAAGGAAGTACTTTACGTGTGAATAATTAGTAATTAATCAGACCTGGTACTGCATTTTCTGGAAAAGAAATTTAATATCTAGTGACACATTAATGATTTCTATCTCCAAGGAGATTGGTGTGCTGGCGACGTATCTGGATCACAGTGGGGAGCTGTGGGCAGCAGACCCCATGGCCACGACGGCCTCCCCTGTCACTCGCGCGCCAAACGTCCAGAAGGAACCTGCAGCGTGATCACCTGCCGCTGTACCTCCAACCGCAAGGAGCCGAAGAGGAGCCCCCGGTGGGCAAGCGGAGCAGAGAAGAGACACACGTTCGGTGTAAAGTTAAGGACACCCCTCTCAGATCCCAGGGATGAGGGCACGTCCCCAAACTCAGCTGCTAGATTTAAAAGCCAGACACACCTTATTTCCCAAAAAATATAGTACATAGAAATTTCGGGGATAATTGGAAAAATTGTCAGAGACCTTCTCCGTGAAAATGAACTCGAATGTCTCAGCGCTGGGACACGCCTCTATTCATCCAGGCAGCAGTGCCTCTTGCTTCTCACCAGGGATGCAACTGGCCAGTGACACCAAATGGCTTTTGAGAACAACTTTTAAACTTTCCTACTGGGCCAAAGCCCAGGCCTGTGAGTATCAAGCAGCCCTGCAAGGCCCGTGACAGCAGGTTCCAAACGTACAGAGGCCTGGCCCCTCCTTCTCAGACACAACGTCACACACAGGGAATCTCCCGCCGCGTGACCTTTTATATTGTGAAATATGGAACCATATTTTACACACTCTTAAGGCATTTATTTATTAAAACGTTCTCTGCCGAGATTTCACATTAGCTTAAAATTCAGCCGAGCATTTATGTTTCTCTGCTGAGGTCGCCAGCTCCACGTGTCACACAACGCGTCTCTGGCGCACAAGGCATCTCCAGTGATCGGTGTGACCAGCATTCTCAAGATGTTAGTGCTGCTCTGCCACAAGGTAAAAGCTCCCAACTCAAACGCACTGGAAAAGGAGCGAAGCTTCTGCAGAGGCACTTGGAGAAGAGGAACTTTTCTCTTATGAAAAGAAACCAGAAGTCCTCTAAGGACAGTGAAAGGGGGACTGAAGATTTCCCACGTGCTCTGCTGGTCCGGCTGCTCACACTCCCCTTGTTCCTGTCCTTCTGTGGGCCCCTCATCAGGGATCACAAAGCCAGCGTCTGTGGCATTACAGAACATCTACAGTCCTCTGCAGTAGAGTCATTTTCCCCTCGTTCTCCAGGCAATTCAATGTTCGTCAGTGTCCCGAAGTGGAAACCTCTCTTCTGCAAGTCTTGGATGGTAAGTCTCAATACGCTGACCTGCTGCATCAACCCCGTGCCCACACCAGGGCCCTTCCCACCTCCCCGGGCTGGCCTTGGCACTGCGGTGGCTCTCTGTGGGGACACGGGCCGCCGTGAAGCTGCAGCTGGAGCTACAGGCTCACACTCATCTCCATCACAGTTTGCATCAAAAATCTTCTCGAACCACTGAACAAACTCAAAATTGTCCTGAAACTTTCACTCGTTTGTCCATGGGAATTACCTTGTCGACGCCCATCCTCTTAAACCCTGCTTGTAGCACTTCGGAGTTCTGGATGTGTTGTGATCTAGCTCGGCTTGGAATTTCACGTTCTCTGTCTGCAGAGCCAGGAACAGCACGGCCGTAAGGTGACGAGAGGCGGCCCCGGGGCACGGCTGTTCCCCCTTCCTCAGACTCAGCCGCACAGACACACTGATCCGGGCCAGCACGTCGGGTCGACTCAGGCTATTGCTGGTGGCTGACGTCAATCTGCATGCACCACCACCTTTGGCTCTCGGAGGAACCACGCCCACTGCTCACGTGATGGCCCCACACACACCACCCCAGGTGGTCCCAAAGCAACGTCCTCCAGCTGCCACCACCTGTCTGCTGTGAGAAGCACAGAACCAGGGAAAGGAGACAGCGAAGACGGCCAGAGACGGCTTCTTGGAGCTCTGTCTGGACACGAGCATGGGGCGTGCATGGAGTGGTGGGACGGAGCGAGGGCGGCAGGTGAGCGGGGGCTGCCCTCCACAGAGCTGCGCTCAGAGCCCTGGGCAAGCAGGCCGACAGCAGGGGACGGACTTGCCGCTTCACTCACGCACCCCGACAGGACCAAGGCCTTGCTAAAGGACCACGTGTCACCACGTGCCTGAGCAGAGTGCGGGGAAAACCTCAGAAAGTAAGTAACACAAGCACGGAAGGCTCAGGCCATAGCAGGACCACCCCACTGGACTGCACACGGATTAAACACGATGATTTAAAGGTCAGACAATGAGCTGAGCAGAGTGCGGGGAAAACCTCAGAAAGTAAGTAACACAAGCACGGAAGGCTCAGGCCACAGCAGGACCACCCACTGGACTGCACACGGATTAAACACGATGATTTAAAGGTCAGACAATGAGCCACAGCGTCACCTTATCATATTTGTCAGAAAACCAACAAGATAAAAATGGAAAAAACAGTAACTCAGTTCTGTAACATGACCCCAAGAAAACAGCTACAATTTACTGACGGGAGAAATGTGTGGCGTGGCTCTGCTGCCCTCTTGTGCAGAGCTCGGGCAGTTCCGACAAAAGTGCTGAGGCCCAATTCAGCGAGGCTCAAACATCCGCCTCGGCTGCTCAGCGGACAGTAAGAAGCAAGACTTCCTGGGAAATAACGCTTATGACCGCCATGAATGGAGCACCCGTGACATGTTTACTGAACATCGGTTACGTCGGAAACGCTGCAGAATCATGCAAACACTGTTCCTCACAAACTCCTGCCTTGCAGGCTTTGTCCAGGTGGAGCCGCGTCACTGCCCCAGTGGAGAGGCCTGCCCTGGCCTGGTGCCATCTGGCCTCGGAAGTCACTGTCTTGTCAGCGAGCTCTGTAGCTCACTTACCTCAGACAGCCTCACCACGTGACCCGAGATGGCACAGAGGCCAAGTGAGGCTGCACACGAGGGCAAGTGGGAAGAGAAGCTGCCAGATCCCAGCTCTCTCCTCTCAATGAGGCTGTGAACCACCCGGACTGGAATAATCCCTCCTGGTCCTTCTGTCCTCCTGCCATGGACTGTAAAACCCACTGGGTCACAGACAATGACCAACCAGATTACTACAGTACGTGAAAGTGCTGGGCAGTGCAGAACCTGCAGCGGGACACCCTCTGCCCTCCTGATGGGCATTATGGAGTGTCAGCGATGGACCGCCCCTGCTCCCAGCATGAGAACAACAGACACTCTCTATAGGACCTGCCAGAATGGGGCTCCCCTTCTCTCCCAAGCTCCAGCCTGACACATGTGTGAAGTGCTGCAGCCTCGCAGTGTATCACAGACCAATCGCAGTGGTGGACACCAAGGCCTCCCTGGAGCTGGGATTCCAGTGAAGCTCCAGCCTGACACATGTGTGAAGTGCTGCAGCCTCGCAGTGTATCACAGACCAATCGCCGTGGTGGACACCAAGGCCTCCCTGGAGCTGGGATTCCAGTCCCCAAGGAGCTCACTTCCTCCTCCTCTCTTGCCAGCTTCATTGTTGTGGTCACACTTATCTTCAGAGACACATCTTCTCACCAGAGCCAAGCGGGAAGGCTCCCACTCTGCCTGGTGACTGTCTCCCCTGCGGTGTGTGAGTGGTTGGCAGCTTGAAAAGCACCAGAAACCCTAAGCGGGGCCCTCTGTCCCCAGGACTCAGGCCCTCACAGGGGAAACAGTGAGAGTGTGTGGGACATAAACTGCCCAGTGTGTGTGACACTCACTCGACACAGAAGGAACACGGAGAGGGGAAGATGCTTGCAGAGGTCAGACAGGAGAAGAACACAGTAACAGGAGATAAGACGCTCTGATTCTAAATTCATGCAGTTCCATAATCCGTAATGAAATCTTAATTAAATTTAATCAACTGAACATCTGACGCCAAAACTTCAGTCTCATGACCTCTGCTCTCGGGCATGCCACAGATGACGTGGCTCTCGTGTGATGGGCTCTGACCCCTCCAGCCGGTGCTGGGGGAGAATCGACCGCACCCAGGCAACGTGCTCAGCACAAGGATGGACACTAAGTTCCAAAACATTCCAAACTCCACAGCACGGACACAAAACTCCTTTTTCAGGCTGGAATGTGCCACCTGATGTACCTCAGAGGTCCCCAAGATCTCCAGGAGAGAATTTTGACTTATACTTGTCTCATTCATCTTAGATTATGATGGCAATGAAACACCGTGCACGTTTGCAAAGTTGACCTGCACGACTATGAGAGGACGAGGCACAGAGTGGAATGACGCGTCGGGCAGTCAGGAAGGGTAAAGAGGACTCTGCCCCAAACAGAAACAGAGCGAGGTTTGTAAAACATGTGTCAATGTCCACTGCATTTTCTCAGCTCAGTGAGAAGCCCTTTCCCAACAATAAGATACATTAAAAAGTCCCCACAATCAAAATAAAGACCACTTATATCAATTGTTCAGCAGCAGAAAGACACCTACTGGGAGGGTCCCCAACCTGTGAGAGTCAGCTTTTAACAGGAGCCTGGAAGCAAGGGTTCTGCGCCTGGAGGAGCCACACAACAGCCTGGCGTCCCGCAGGCTAGCGGCCGGGGGGGGAGGGACAAGGGACAGAGAGGCTGCGGGGAAGGGCCGGGTCCGTCTGGAGACACGCTCTGCCTCACTCATCCAGAGCTGCTGCTTTCCTGCAGAATCGAGGCTCCATCCTCCCTTCAAAAGCGCCTCCTGGACCCGCTGCCGGGGAGCTGGACGCAGAACAGAATCGGCGAAGTGAGCAGAAAGAGTAAGGCCAGAGCCAGGCCTGGGGACAGGCGGGCAGCAGCCCCAAGACCCGCCAGTCTCCCGCCTCTGTAGTTCCTGAAAACCTCGAGACGTGAGACGTTCCCGTTGCCGTTGGGGGGTGACACTAGTAGACGCACTGGTGAAGGTGTGCGCAAGGGCCCGCGTGTGCCAATCTCAACCAAGCCTCAGCTCTGAGGCAGCGGCAGGAGCCTGACCAGGGGTCGCAAGGCTTCATGGTTGCAGAGCCGGGAGCCCGCAGGTCAGAGCTGTGGAGCTGAAACGGCAGAAACTCTAACACTGTTGCTCTCACCTCAAATCGACTTTCTTAGAAAAATGCCTTGTCACGTTTATAAAAGTGTCTAGGCAGAAACCTACTAAATTTCCAAGTATGCGTCCAGCATGTCTCTCAGTTAAGTTAATAACAATGTGTGTTTCGGTTACGTAAGGTCCGACTCCCTCACTCCCCTATGGCTCTGCAAACGCTTGGCTCGCGACCAGGGGCGGCAGCCATCCACGTGGCTGCGGTTTTGGTCCCACATCACGTTCACTGTTTGGCTTCCGTGCTCAGCGCAATCTCATCTGTCAAATCTCACCATTCCGTTCCCCGATTCAGGCCTTAGCTCTGCTCTGTTGTTGTCAAGGAGACAAAAGCAGCACTTGGCGATCAACCACCAGGACGACAGTGGGACCCAGCCTCAGATTCACGTCAACTAAAATGAAGACGCATCTTACCTGAGAAAGCAGCGGGGGTCCCGGTGAGGCTGGCATCAAAGACCAGTGACAAATGGTTGCCTAGGCCACAGGCCAACCACCGCCCATCTCCTGTTTAGAAAAAAAAAGAAATACCCCTTATAAGTCCTAACTCACAGGGGTCACTCTGACCACAAGAAAGACGTAGAGCACTCAGGTAACTCGATGTTCACTTTCTCAGGTAGAGAGAAAATCCGAAACAGGTAACAAGGCTTCCCGGCCCTCTCAGCCCCTCACCTGCACACGTGGAGGGTCTCCCCGTGTTAGCCCCTTTAGCTCTCACAGCTCTTTTCCCACGACTTTACAGAGCAGCCTCTGTTATCAGTGCCCTCCTTTGTTTACAGAAGAGGGACTGAAGGCGGTGAGCTGAGGCCACCCGCCCAAGGGCACAGGGCGCGTCAACAGAGCCAGGGACCCAAAACACCCCACACCCCGGGTTGCACAAAATCAATTCAAAAATTATTTGGCTAGAACTATAGGAAAGTGAAGGGAATTTACCAGCATTGTAAATAATGATAACCGTCAGGCAACACACTTCTGACTCTGGCCAGACGGTGGGACAGAGCAGCGGCACCGGGACAGGGCATTGTGTCCATCCCTGGACACGCGGCAAAGCCCTGTCTCACCTGCTAGCAAATCTGCCTCCCGGGAAGAGCTCAGGCAGCAGAACTACCCAGTGGGAGCCCAGGGCTCTCTCACAAGCTGCCTCCCAACTCCTTTCAAACATGATTGAGAAAAGACGTGGAGGTCCCAGAAAGGGACAGACCGGCTGCCCTGGAAGTCGAGAAACGCTCAGCGCTGCAGGAACGGCCCCAGCTGAGGGCTGCAGGAAGGTGCCGCTCACAGGCCGGCCTGGCGCCTCTGCGGCCTGTGCTCTTCAAACTGTCGGGGAAACGGCTGACCGCGTCTCTGGGGGCCTTGATGACGGTCTGTTGGCTTCCATGACTCTGGAAAGCTTCCCACCAGGCTCATTTTAAAGGCTACATGGGAGTGGCCACACAGACGCAAAAGGCAAACCTGGGAGGGCTTATCACTGTGCCAGGTGCAGACACAGAAGTGGGACGCTCTGGGACAATCCTGTCCTCAGTGCAGGAGCTGGGTCCTGGTTCTGACCCGGACTCAGACACTGCCTGCGGCTCCCAGTGACCGAGATCTTTAAAGTGTGTTTACAGCAGAACAGTGGGCTCCCGGCGGCCTCACGCACCTGAGTACTGCACGCAGCACACCCCAGCTGGCTCTGCGGCCACGGCCACCTGCCGGGCGAGCCTGGTGGGCAGGCCGCTCTCCAGGGGGTATTCCTCCCTTCAAGGAACAAGAGAGGAGTGAAATCAAGAGCTAATCCAAAGTGAGACTGGAGATAAAAGGCAAACTAGAAATGAAGTGGATTTCCCCCATTTACAGTATAATTTTACCCTGTTAAATATATGAATGTACTTTTAAAAGTTTGTGGAAAAATAGAATTAAAAGATAATTACAAATCTCTCCATGAACTTTTTGAAGACCCCCAGTACATACATATACTCTCACATTCAAATCATGAAATGACACACATTCCATATTACAAAAAAAAAGCATGTATGTTAAGTATTAAATGGCAAGGACTTATGTTTCACATCAAATGATGTGAGTACTGCCGTGAGTCCAGGACGGGCATTCCTAGAAAACAGAAAACATGCTGCACTTTCCATTGCATACTCTTTACAGGTGACTATCACGATACTAACTGCTCAGATAAGCTACAAATGGCTCTATTTACCATGAAAACAACCACATTCCCAGTCTCTAAAAGAAACCAAGCAGGGCTGGGGATGTGCTGTGCTGCAGGTCAGTGCAGCAGCGTGGGCGCCACGGGAACCCTGAGGAGGGGCCACAGCCCATGGGCCTGAGGATCATGAGTAGGGCCGTAGGGCCGGCAGGGCTGGCTCTCCCCACAGGGCTCCTATGACCTTGGCATGCCCTTCACCTTCTGAGTCCTCACACTGTAAAACTACCTGCCATACATGGTTGTTACAGGATTAGAAATGACAGAGAAAAGCACCAGGCACCTGGCCGATGTGCAAAAAAAAGAAAAAAATCACCCACCATGATATCAAAGCACGCTGTTCTGAACACTGGGATTCACTGAAGGACTTACGTGCCCCTGGATTTACACCATCCACGTTGTCTAAAAGCTGGAGGGACTGGCCTGTCTCGCACCTTCCTGGAGACCTCTACGTCACAGCTGCCTGGCAGCCTCTCAGAATGAAAATAAATACAAGAAGGGCCAAAAACAAATAGAAGCTGACTCAATATGGAAAGCTGGGGTCTCCTCACAAAAAAAAATGTTACCCCAAAAATTAGAGTTCAACGTAACTCTGTGGCTGAGTTTCACAGTGGAGCACAGAACACTCTTACAAGGTTTGAATGCATTTTGCTACAGGCACATACTGAATATCAATACCCGACTGATATGGAGAGCAGCACAAGTGGTAAACTGTGAAAAGGCCAAGGAAAATCTCAATAAACAGTAAAATCAATGTTCCAGTAAACATTTTTGTAAACCTGACGACTATTCAAATGCAGACATGGTGTATATTAAAGTGAGTATTATTTGAAGTGGAGTAGCCCATAATCTCTTTATAGGTGATGAATCTTAAGGCTTGAGAGGTCCCCCAGACCCTTCCTTGTACAGACACTGGGGCCCAGCGTCTGCTGGACGTGTGCACAGCTACACAGAGCCCGCGCCGCAGCCCAGCCTGCCGGCCCGAGGTGGCGAGCCAGCCAGGCCGCTCAGAACCGCACTTACACCGCTGCTGCTCCAGGCTTCCCAGCCAGCTACCGCCAAAGACACTTACTAAGAGTGATCATTGGCTACACTGTTTCCTAAAACTAAATTTTAACAAATATTAAATATGTCAAAATTGTCAAGGTGGTAAAAATAGCAGCATGTCTGAAAAATTATTAACATGAAAGATTTGACTAAAAGGTTCTAGATGAACCCTATAGACATACACGTACTAGTGTACAGATGTGCATGTACACATGTAAGGTCTTACCCTTGTTTGAAAGTCACTGAAAGTATTTAAAGGTCTCTCCCTGTCATTTCAGATCTACTTCTAATGCACGCCCTAGGGTAGATGAACCCTATAGACATACACGTACTAGTGTACAGATGTGCATGTACACATGTAAGGTCCTACCCTTGTTTGAAAGTCACTGAAAGTATTTAAAGGTCTCTCCCTGTCATTTCAGATCTACTTCTAATGCACGCCCTAGGGTACACACCGTCTGTGACTGCTCCTGTGCTCCGAAGACCTTTCACCACCATTCTTGACGCTGGTCTTTGGTGAAAACATAGTTGTACTGCAGAAAGAAAACCCGTGTATCACACTCAAAGACTAGGAGCTCCGAGTCTGTTGACAGATCTGTGTCTCACAGTGACACCCACACACACGGCTGCATGACTGCACATGGCTGCCCTCTGCCACCCGCCTCCACCGCCTCCCACTGCCTCTCACACCACCTGCTGCATGTCGTCCTCAGCGACCGCATTTAAAATCCTGCACAGCACTCGGCCCTTCTCCTGTTCAGCTCCAAGGCCCAGGGTGGCGCTCGCGGTCTGGCACCCTCATCCCCGTGGCTCCCGCACACGGCCCTGCACTCCCCACACGCCTAACCCAGAGGGCCCCGGGAGTCACACGCGACGCCGCAGACGGCACCGCCCAGCCTTAACAGCAGGACACCTGGACTGACGTGTGATTCTGCTGAGGCACAAACCCTGAACTCATTCCGCCCCCCATAAGCACCTCGTGAGAGGGTCCCAGGCTCAGGGACTTACAACACAGACAACACGTGGGACACAGTCACACTCATACTGTCCGGCCAAAGAGAGAGCGTGAAGCAGGAAAGGGCTGGGCGGGGAGGGGAGGCAGTGAGTTACACAGAGTGGAGCCCTGGGGGTCCAGGGGACAGGCGAGGGGGGCTTGGAGGAGCTGAGCACCAACAGGAAGAGCTTGGAGGCCCATCAGCCACACCAGGGGGCTTTTGGGGAACAGGGTCATTCTGGCCTCTATTTCTAGAGCACATCGGGGTGGAGAGTTGGGTAGGGGGAGGGTGGGATGCAGAAGAGCCACATTGTCCTTTTCGGGGCTTGTGAAGGACAGGGAACCCCAAGGCTCCACCACAGCTCCCCAGCACCACGCTGCACTACACACCACTGTCCCTGGACAACCTCACACAGCCGGTCCTGCTAACTCAGATTCTGAGCACCCTGAGCTGTGCTCTAAGGAGGGCAGTGTCGTCGGCCTCGGTCACCCCCTCCCAGTCCACACCCCACTAGCTTCCCACCTCACCTGAAATGACCTCATCAGCGGACAAGGACTCAAGGGCTGATCTGAGCCCCAGTGCACAGCAAGCGCTCAACGAATGCTGGCTGCTGCAGTCGCACACTTCAGCGACGTGACATTCTGGGTTCTGAGCCGCCACATTTTAACTTCTGTTCATACTCTGTCCCCTCCCCCCAGATGATCCTCGAGGGCACATGTCCATGCACGTCTAGGTCCTGCCTCTGTGACGTAGTTACGTTGCCATTTGCACTAGTGACATGAGGGACTTGCAGCTGCTTTGCTCACCGTGGTGCCGATGCGTAGCCAGACGACCGAATTCTCCTGTGGAAAACCAAAGGCTGGTCCTTTACGGCGCTCCGCGCAGCTGCATAAAAATAATTTTAAAGAAGCAGCGGAATTTAGCATTTCAATTTAGTTACGGACGTGAAAAGTACAGTCTCTCAAAAACAGAAAAATTCACACAAACAGAATGAGTTTCTGACCTGAAGTTAAATAAGCCAATACCAGCAAAAGAAGATTAGACCAAGGGGATTAAAAGTATAAGAAAATAACCAGATATTTTTCTCATTCTTTAAATTACGCCAAATTGCAATATGTTTCACATACTTGTGGACTAAACCGTGAGCTTCCAGGCAGTGCTGGCCACAGGTTCATCACCTGGAAGAGACCGCGCAGGTGGCCATAAACCACGCTGCACACAAAACCCTGGGTGTGCAAGCTCCGTCCACGGGGTAATGACAAAGCGCCTCCCTGCAGCAGCTCACTCCACAAATCAGTGATAAACACGGCCTCTCTACCAGCAAGAGTATCGACTATCTGTACTTGATTCAAATTCATTTTTATACTTTTTATTTATAATGTGATAGAATAATAAGAAAAATAAGCTACTAATAATTACATTAATATATTTTAATGGCAATGAAACCTCTCACCCTATTTTAACATAGTTTACATTTTCCACCGGAACTACTGGATGATAAAAATTCGGACACGTGACCTATAAACTTATCATAAATATTTACGAATCTCGAAAATCCTTTCAGAAAAATACGAATTTTTCACAACTATTTATCTTCACATAAACTTAATACTTGGTGTTCAATATAAATATTCAGTACAATATTATAAAATAGCTTTAGAAAAATGGATAATTGTATAATATTGAGTAATTCTAAATAGAATTTTCTCTCTTTTTTTGAAACAAGGAAACTCAGTTCTGTTTCTGGTCTGGTACTATTTTTACTTATTTTTGGCAGCTGGACGGTGTGGGGATCCAAACCTTGGTGTTATGACACTGTGATGAGATAAGCAGCCAGCCCTTCGGACTATTTTAAACCTGACAACCTGAACCATATTCCCATTAAGAGCCAAGTGAACCTAATGAGCAGATATTAAATTAATAACTTAAGACGTCTCACTGTGACAAATCAAAGTACAAGAGGTAGCCTGGAGTCCCCGAGGCCTGTGTCCACCCCGGGCCTGGGCCTCACCCACCTCATGGGCTTGCAGCGAGCAGAACCCATGCCTAGGGAAGGGCAGGGGTAGGGGGAAGGAAGCCACCGTCCAGAGCGGGGACCCCAAAGTGACCTCTCAGGGAAGGAACCGCTCCTAGGGGTAACCCAGGAAATTGTGCAGTCCCAGCCTAGTTTTTCTAAAGAATTTTAATAGAAGTGTTTATATAAACATAAAATTACTTTTGATATTAATTAAGAAAATATTTCAAAAATCATTTTTACATTACACAACAATGTGAAGGTACTTTATGCCACTGAACCATACGTTTTAAAATGGTTAAAACGGAAAATTTTGCTACACTTACTTCACCACAATTAAAAAAAAAACAAAACAAGAGGCAAGTAAAGAAATAACTAAAGAAGAAAGGTTTTTTAAATAGGAAAAACACACTTTTACTATATAATGTACAAGATCATATTATTTACCTAGTAAATACTTTCAATTTTTCTTTAACATACTGACTACACAGGAATTTTTAAATTTTTCGAGGAAGCTACTATTTAAAAAGTAGAAGCTGACTTTCATTTCAGTTAGGGTGTCACTGGTGTATAAAAATGCCACTGACGTTTGTGTGTTGATTTTTGTACACACAGACACACACACACACACCAGTTTCTTGAATATTATGAATAAAGCTGCAATGAACACGGGAGTGAGATATCTTTATGAGATGGTGACTTTATTTCCTTTAGTTATGTGCTCAGAAGAGAAATTTCTGGGTCATAGGGTAGTGTACATCTATTTTTAATTTCTTTAGAAACCTCCATGCAGTTCCACATAATGGCTGTATCAATCTACATTCCCACCAACAGTATACAAAGGCTCCCTTTTCTCCCACCCTCACCAACATTTATCTTTTGATTTTTTGATAAGGGCCATCCTAATGGGTATGGAATGTTATCTTACAGTGGTTTTAATTGGGATTTCCCTGAAAATTCATGATGTTGAGCACAGTTTCATATGCCTGTTAGCCATTTTTATGCCTTCTTTGGAGAAGTGTTTGTTCAGGTCTTTTGCCCATTTTTGAATTATTTGGTTTTACACTGTTGAGTTCAATTAGTTGTTTATAAATTGTGAATATTAACCCCTTATGAGATACATGGTTTGCAAATATTTATTCCCAATCTGTAGGCTGCCCTCTCATTTTGTGGATTGTTTCCTGTGTGTAGAAGCTTTTTAGTTTAATGTAATCTCATTTATTTATTTTTGCTCTAGTGGACTGAATTTTTGGTGTCATATCCAAAAATCATTGCCAAAGCCAATGTCCAGGAGCTTTTCCCGTATGTTCTCTTCAGGGAGTTTCATAGTTTCTGGTCTTATATTTAGGTCTTTCACCCATTTTGAGCTAATTTTTGTGTATGGTGTAAGGTAAGGGTCCAACTTCACTCCTTCGCATGTGGAAATCCAGTTTCCCCAGCACCAGCCTTTGAAGAGACCAACCTTTCTCCATTGTGTCCTCTTGGTGCTCTTGTCAGAAACTAGTTGAGTATACGTGTTTGGATTTATTTCTGGACTCTATTCTGTTCCACTAGTGTGTGTGTCTGTTTTCATGCCAGTAATATAATTTCAGCTCAGGAAGTGACATGCCTCCCACTTTTTCTTTCCCATAATTATTTTGGCTATTCAGGGACTTTAGTAAATCCACACAAATTTTAGGATCATTTTTTTCTATTTCTGTGAAGAATGCCATGGAGATTTATAGTTTTCAGATCTTTTACCTCCTTCTTTAAATTTATTCCAGGATAATTTTTTAATGCTGTCATAACAGGGTTGTTTTCTTGACTTCTCCTACACATGATATCCAGTTGTCCCAGCACCATTTATTGAAGAGGCTATTCCTTTCCATCCCTCCCCAGTTAGAATGGCAATTATTGAGAGCTCAGGGGAAGAGGAAGAGAGACCTATGGAGGGCATGAAGGTGGGAGAAGCCATGATGAGAGAAAGAAAAAAATACTGGGACCTTTTCGAATCCCAGCTGCTTCCAGGCTGGAGCTGCTGAGCACATGGAGCAGGAGCTGGCAAAAAGCCACAACTGTGCCCTTCTTATGAAGTTACTTGGAGGCAGCAGGGGAGAAGAGGGCCTTGGTGGCCCCCAGGACAGCTAGACCACTAACAGGGTTCCTGTGGACCCACATAGCAGTGAGGAGCCATGACAACTGAAAAAAGGAGCCATTCAGAGGCCAGTGAGTCATTGCAAGGGTCTGGAGTATGGCCCATCCCATGGAAAGTGTTTGTAGCACAGGCAGTAGGGGAGATGGGCCCACGGGTGAACACTGGGGCACAGCAAGGACAGCTGATCTGCCCCCCAGTCAACACAGGACCACTCAGAGGAGATGGTCAGAAATAGAATTCCATGGGGTGCAGTTTGATGTAAAGACTCAGGCACCACATCAGAGTTTCTACACAGCCCAGGTACACCAGATCTCACCAGATCCAGAAGTACCTATAAAGCCAACCATTAAAACCTGAACTGCACAAAAAGCCTTCCCCAGAGAATCAGCAGCAAAGCAGCAACTTAGCTCAACCACAGAGCTCAAGTGCTGGTCCCCACATGAAGTTCCCCCATTTTAGAAGTAAGCAAAGGACAAAAAAAAATAGTTTCAGTGCAGAGTTTAAGTGGTAGGAACAGCAAATAATCCAACACAGAACTGAAAGAAAAAACCAAGTACCCGCAACCAGAGACAAAGTTTGATATTAACTAGTAATGGTCTCATTTCACCAAAGAACACCTATAACATCTAGAAGGAATGAAGTCCCCAGGGCTGCCAAGCCAGAAAGGGGGCAGGGCCAGGGGCCTCAGCCATGCCCCCCCAAAACCCAAAACCAGTCCCAAGAATGGGCACTGAGGGCCTCAGCCACACACCCCTGACATGAGCCACCACCCAAGCAACGACCACTGAGCTGCCACAGGAAGTGCCCCAGGGTCTCCCAAGCCAGGGTGGTGGGGGGCCTGGGGCCTTGGTCATACCTACTCCAAACACAAGCAACCAGCCCAGTGATGACCAACAAGCTGCCACAGGAAGTGCCCAGGGATATCCTGAGCTGGGGGGCGGGCAAGGGCCTCGGCCATGTCCCCCCCTACATCTGCAACCAGCTCAATGACAACCACTGAGCCACTGCAGAAAGCACCCCGGGCTCTCCTGAGCTGGGGCAGTAGGGGGCCAATGGCCTCAGCAATACCCCCTAACATGCACATCCAACACAGCAACAACCACCAAGCTGTAGCAAGAAGAGCCCTGGGTCCCTGAGCTGGAGTGGGAGTGGCGAGGGCTTTTGCTACACCCCCCTGACATCTGCATCCAGCCTGGCCATAACCAAGCCACCTCAGTAAGCCCCCCAGTCTCTCCTGTGGGAATGTGAGGGTGCCACAGACCCCAATCCCTCCCCTCCTCCTTCCTCCTTCCCTCACATTTCCTCCCTTTCCCCTCCCTCCCAACTGCTCTGCAACAACATCATAGAATGTATAAAAATAATATTAATAAAAATTTTTTTAAATAAAATAAATTTAAAAACAAACTTAAAAGAAAAAAAAGAATGTCAATTATCAAAAAGACAAAAAAATAACAAATGCTGGTGAGGGTACAGACAAATGGGAACTCTTATACACTGTTGATGGGAATGCAAATTAGTGCAGCCATTATGGAAAACAGTAGGGAGGTCCCCCAAAAAACTAATAATAGAACTACTATATGATCAAGTAATCCCACTACTGGGTATATGTCCAAAGAAAAGGAAATAAGTATACTGTAGAGATACATCTGTACTTCCATGTTTATTGCAGCACTATTCACAATAATTAAGATGTGGAATCAACCTAAGTGTCCACCAACAGATATACATATAAAGAAA